ATCTTCTCCAAAGTAAGAAGTACAGAAGGAGACAGTAGGTTCGATGTTGAATAGAGAGCAGTTTGCTTGAATTTCAGCTGATGCCAGTGGAAAACCCACCCAGAGATGGCATATTGGGAGGTAGAGAGGCAGGTCTCTGGGGAGTTATTGGTGTATGGGGAGGGGAAGGGACGCCACGAGGGTATGTGAGATCACCCGGAGGAAGGGGAACACAAGATAGAAATTTGAGTATCATTCTGTTTAAATTATGAGCTTGAGAAGAAATTCCTAATTGTTGCGTTCTCGTAAACATTTTAAATGCTTCCATTCAGCCTACACAATGCTGCGTGGCTCCGCTTGATCATTGAAAGCATTACACGTACGAACTTCTTTCCCTGGTCTCCAATCACACACTCGTTTTCCTTTTCAAGTCTGGCATCTTCATTAACAGAATATACACAGGAAATTCAGAAAAGTGAGGGTCCCTGCTAATGCCACCATTTAGGAATTATCTTCATTCTTAGGAATTATCTTTCATTCTTCTTCCTTTTTTTTTTTTTTTTTTGAGGCAGAGTCTTGTTCTGTCACCCTGGGTACAGTGCAGTGGTGTCAGCCTAGCTCACTGCAACCTCAGACTCCTGGTGTCTGGGACTACAGAGTATGCAACAAAGCCTGGCTAATTTTTCTTTTTTTCTATTCTGGATAATTTTTTTTTTCCTATTGTGGTAGAGATGGGGTCTTACTCCTGTTCAGGTTGGTCTCCAACTTCTGAGCCATCCACCTACCTGGGCCTCTCAGAGTGCTGGGATGACAGGCGTGAGCCATCACACTCGGCCTACCTTTTATTCTTTAATTATTAGGATGAAATTGAAGAAGCCTAGTGAAATTTTAAGTTTTTATTTTGTATTTCTCTGGAGAATATAAGACATCAGAAACGTACGTAGTGTGAATTAAGGTAGGACAGCTCTGTTGAGGGTGGGGAGGGAGGCTCATGGCTTCTTGCCCTTATTGCCGAGTGGCCTTTGAAGTGGCTTGCAGGAAATGTCCCTGTTCCAGGGAGCACAGCCTCAGGCTTGCGTGGAGTTTTTAGTGTTTTGTCAGTGAGGACACTGATGCCTGAGTTTCCTCGGGAGTTAAGTGATTTGCCCTTTGTCTTACTCATAGGAAGGGGAGAGATGGAATCAGTACTGGTAACACCTCATTCCTAGTCTTGTACTCTTTTGTAATGTGAAAAGAAAGTGGCCAGCGGGAGAAAAAAAGGGATGTGTTCAATGAAGTGGAGATGTTGAACGAGTCTATGTCATGTTCTGAAATAGCATCAACTATACAGAATCTCCCTAAAAAGAAAGGCCCAGAACCAGATGGCTTCACATCAGAATTCTACCAAACCTTTAAAGAGGAACTAGTACCTATATTACTCAACCTTTTCCAAAATATAGAAAAAGAAGGAATACTACC